GTCCACCCCTACCCGCAGAGACACCCTTAGCACTGTCTAAGCTTTTTCCACCAAAGATGGTTTGCCTCTGGGGCAGTAACTTTGAAATCTTCTCTCAAATTCCATCCTTAAAACTTCCTGCTACCCCGTTTAGCTCTACCCTGTCTCAGGTTGTAACAGTCATGCCTGTGAGCACTGTTCCATTTGGGTGAGCTGTGAACCCACCTCTTATAAATACCTTATAAATACAGTGGCTGTCCCTCTCCCTTCTGCCTGTCCTGCTGCAAGAAGAAACTCTCTCCCTTGAGGCCCAGAGTTGTTCCAAAGTCAACCCATGAGGGGGCAAGATGGCTCAGTGAGTAAGAGCTCTTGCAAAGGACCTGCCTTTGGTGCTAACACCTACATGGTAGCTCACAACCCCCCGTAACTTCTGTTCCTGGGAAACCGATGCCTTCTTCTGACCTCTGTGGGCACCACGAATGCACATGATGCAGATACACATGCAGGCAAATTAGTCAAACAAATATAATAAACTATAGCTAAGAATATTTTAAATATTCAACACATGAAGTTCACTATTGAGTCTGATGTCAATATTACATTAAAGCTTTAAAACATTAATTTTGTTATTGTTGTTTTTCAGGGTTGGAGACGGAGCCCAGGGTTCTCTGTGTGTACTGGGTGAGCACTCTGCCACTGATGACACCCCTAGCTCTTGTTTCATTGAGACAAGGTGGATAGATAGCTCAAATTGGCTTCTGCCTCTTGGGTGCGGGGGTTATGGGCATGTGCTATCAGGCTCAGCTCCCTTCATTACAGGTTTAATACAGCTCCTCTGAAATGCCTGGGACGGGATGTATTGAAGATTTCAGGGGTTTTCTTCCCATTTTAGAATGCTTGCATACACACAATATGGTAACTTGGAGGTGGGACCCAAGTCTGGACATGAAAATCCTTGTTCCACACAGCCCGTGTGTACGGAGCCTAGGGGTACTTTTATGTGCCAGCTTCCGGGTTCTCATGTTTTGACTCTTGCCTGTCACATGAAGTCAGGTGTGGAATTTTCCACTTGCCGCATCATGTCAGTGCTCAGAAAGCTTCAGATTTGGCTGTAGTTTGGATTTATGGAGTAGAGACGCTTGATTCTTACTGTTTGTCAGGATTTTATGTAGGGCAGAGGTGAACAGTGAGCTTACTTGAAGCCAAATCCTGTTCAGGACATTTTGTTAGTTGGAATGTCCTCTAAAACTCTTGTTACCTGCCCGCTAAACTCCCTCCTAATTATGCCCACTGTTTTATCACTGGGTTTCAAATAAACAGAGTTTGATTTTAAAACAACACTTTTATATTTCAAACAGACTTACTGTTTCCTGTTTGCAAAATGGAGACACAAAATTTAGGGGTCATTTTTCTAAGGGCACTAATTCATATGAGGACCCCACTCCCATGACCCACTTAGTCCTAATGACTTGTCTCCAAATGCCATCACAGGCACGGGGAGTGCCAAAGATCTAGCACACAAACCTGTGGCAAACACAATTCGGTTCACAGCAGGGACTCTAGGATGGAGTCTTGGAGCCTCTTTCTGCAAATGCATATATGGCCTGGCCCATCACAGAGGCAAACTGGCTGAACTTTAAGCTTGGCCACTATCTGAGTAAAACTGCCACCATCTTCATTAAACCAGCTGTGCTTGCTTCCCAAGAGTCCGTCATGATCAGGCCTGTGGCCTGATGACATATTCCCTCCTAGGAAGGCCTCAAGGAGGGTCACTGGACCTTCACCAGGGTATCTGGCCACTCCTCCAAGCCATGTATATTTAGTTCAGCCCTAATTGCCCGTGGCCTCAGGACCTCAGGGAGGGACTAGATATACAGGCTGGTGTAGATTAGGGGAAAGAGGCTTCATCTGTGAAGCTGAGGGGAAGCCATTGTCCATGATCTGGGAAGACCTTCCAGTGCAGTTGCTCTGAGGTCACCGACACTTCTAACAGTGACCCCTCACCCATATTCACCAGTAAGCCAAGTAAACGCATCCCGAGGATGAGCCAAGGTAGAACTGCCCTTTGGTTTGTCCTTGGAACCTTAGGAAGGCAGATGTCATTCACATCTGCCCACTGTAATGGATTATTAAAAATGCTGCAGGATCCCTGACGGTTGTAGGTCCCCGAGTAGTAGCTGGTCCAGGGTAGGGAGACATGTGGCGGCTGGCAAGAGACAGAGACATGGATAGGCACGCCATGCAGAGTGAGGTTGGATATTTTATTCAGTGGGTTATGGAGGGAGAAGGGAGAAGGGGAGAAGAGAGAGAGAAAGAGAGAGAGAGAGAGAGAGAGAGAGAGAGAAGGAAGGGACAAAAGGGGAGAAGGGGGAAGGGGAGAAGGGGGAAGGGGAGAAGTGGAGAGAGGCAGAAGCTGTCTCTTCAAGAGGGAGACGGAAAAGAGGGAACTCAGGTAGGAAGCTGAAGATCAGCCTGTCTCAGCAGAGGGGGGAGGGGAGGAGTGAGGGTGGCTTCTCTCTTAAAAGAATTCCCACAAAAAGGAATTTTAGCAACAAAAGCTGAAATATTTGTCAGCATTTCAAAGTCAGGCTTTGTGTTAGACAATATTTCATCATTGTGATGAAATGCTTATACAAGGAACTTAAATTTTAGTTTTAGTTCATGACTTCAGAGATTTCAGTACACCGTCATTTGGTCTTGAAATGCTGAACCTGTGGTGGCACAGTAGTTTCTCATCATATTTCATGAGCAAGTAACAGTCTGACTGAACTACTTACTTCCTGGTGTGAGGGAGGAAGGTCATTGGTTAAATAAAAAGAAACTGCTTGGCCCTCATTGGTTAGAAGATAGGTGGGAGGAGTAAACAGAACAGAACGCTGGGAGGAAGAGGAAGTGAGCTCAGACTCCACAGCTCTCCTCTCGGGAGCAGACGCCTCAGAGAGACGCCATGCTCCCAGCTCCTGGGCAGACACACGCGATGAAGCTCCAACCCAGGATGGATGTAGGCTAGAATCTTCCCGGTAAGCGCACCTAGCTGTGCTACATAGAATATTAGAAATGGGCTAGTCCAGGTGCGAGAGTTAGCCTAGAAGAGGCTAGATAGAAATGGGCCAAGCAGTGATTAAAAGAATACAGTGAGCCGGGCGGCGGTGGCGCACGCCTTTAATCCCAGCACTCGGGAGGCAGAGGCAGGCGGATCTCTGTGAGTTCGAGGCCAGCCTGGTCTACAAGAGCTAGTTCCAGGACAGGAACCAAAAGCTACAGAGAAACCCTGTCTCGAAAAATCAAAAAAAAAAAATAAAAGAATACAGTGTCCGTGTAATTATTTTTGGGGCATAAGCTAGCCAGGCGGCCGGGGTGCTGGGAACGCAGCCCCGCCGCTCCAATTACTACACTGGTGGACTGGAAGCAGAGAATGGGGAAGGGACCAGGGACTACTAGATATAGCCTTCAAAGATACAACCATCAAAGGCGCTCCCCCGGTAACCTACTTCCTTCAACTAAGCTTCATCTTACAAAAAAGCCCACCGTCTGGGGCATGAACATCCAACAAACAAGCCTGTGAGGTTGTGGTGGTTTGAAAGAAAATGGCCCCCACAGGGTAAGGTGCTATTGGGAGTGTGGCTTTGTTGGAGTAGGTGTGGCCTTGTGGGAGGAAGTGTGTCACTGTGAAGTCAAGCTTGAGATTCCATACAAGCTCAAGCCATACCCAGTGGTTCAGACTACTTCCTATTGCCTATGTATCAAGATGAAGGACTCTGAGCTCCAGCATCATGGTGGTATTGGACTACACCTCTGAAAATAGAAGCCACTCCCAATTAAATGTTTTTCCTTTAGAAGAGTTGTTATGGTCACAGTGTTTCTTCACAGCAATAAACTTTAACAAAAACAGAGGACAATTCACTTTCAAATGCCAAACCCTCATACCCTAGAAAAATGGAAGGATGAGAAAGCAGGGCCAGCATCCTCTTGGTGTCAGTAGCTGAAACCAAGAGCCCCTTCCTCTTCATGTAGGAGTAGCTACTGCAGTGTTGTTCAGATCTGGAGTCCTCATCTCTCTCCCTTGTGAAGCCCCAGGTACCTTCTTTTCTTTGGGTTTTAGTCTTTGCCAGAGCAACCACTTAGGTTTGTGACCTCTTTCATGGTTCTAGGCACCTTTCAAAAAACCTGAAAGGAGTTGCGCTGACAGAACATTCACCACACATTTTAAACGAAATTTTAAATTGCAGCCTGCCATGGAAGCCTACACTCCATGATGAGTTTTTCCTCTGAGTCAGTGAGGTCCTCTCCCATGTTTTCACAGTGCTTCTAGGTTTCCAAAGGGAACTTCTCAAGCTGCACTGGAATTCTAGTGGCAGAGCTTGACGGGGTCTTACCTGAGCCTTACCAGGGTGCTTACCTCCCCATCTCTATTCTTTCCAGATAGTCCAGCTTAGGCACACTCCTGCTTTCACAGCAAATATGTTGGTCACCACATCCCAGTGCTATGTGTTATTCTTTCGGTCCCTGCCCTGGCCACGCCCACTCCTTTTAACCCCTGACCTCGCCTGCCATTGCGCTCTCTCCCTGTGTTCTCCCCCGTGTACCGAAAGAATAACACTATGTATACAGTCTGCACTTAATAAAGACTGGCAGAAATGGATGATGAACGAAGGAACGTTTTTGGAGGGATGGATTGGAGGATAGAAGGAGGCATGGATGGATGGGTGGGTGGAATGATGGAAGGAAGAAAGGATGGATGGATAGACGACGGATGGGTGGGTGAGTGGATGAATAGAAGGGTGAATACATGGAAGGAGGAATCTCCACTCTCAGGCTTGAGACACTTCGTTGGGGGAGCCCGGTGACAGCAACCCTAGGTAGGCAGTTAGGCTCTAGTCCCACCTTGCTTGTACCCGACATTCTCTGGGCCCCGAGGTAGCGCTGTAGTCGCCCGAGGGCGGAAGCTTCCGTGCCGGAACCGGCGCGCTCGGCGCGAGTTGCGGGGGGGTGCGGCTTAGCGGGCGGACCGCCTAGCCGGCGCTCAAGCGGCGGCGTGCGAGGCGGCGGCGGCATGGCGGGCCGGCGGGTGAATGTGAATGTGGGCGTGCTGGGCCACATCGACAGCGGCAAGACAGCGCTGGCGCGCGCGCTGAGCACCACAGCCTCCACCGCCGCCTTCGACAAGCAGCCGCAGAGCCGCGAGCGTGGCATAACGCTCGACCTGGGCTTCTCCTGTTTCGTCGTGCCGTTGCCGGGAGCTGAACCCGGGACCGACGACACGCAGCTGCAGGTCACACTGGTCGACTGCCCCGGGCACGCCTCCCTCATCCGGACCATCATTGGCGGTGAGCGCGGGCCGGGGCGGGAGCCGGGCTCGGGGTCCGAGCTCGCGGGAAGGGACTGGCCTGACTGCCTAGGCCTGGCCGCCCGCCAGGGAGGCTTGGGGGCTCGAACTCAGAGCCCACAGACGCGAACGCCGTTCCCGCCTTCACTGCCGTGCAGCGAGATGCTTTCCTAGAAAAACAATCAAGGAAACAAACCCTGCAAAAAGTGTGTACGCAAAAGTTTCAAAAAAAGTCACCATTCACCTGACGTTTGGTCTCTCCATTCTCTGTCCCTGACATTGTTCCCAGCGTCCTATGTATGCATGGTTTCAGGAAAAGTACACAGAAATGCCGGCAAATCGCGGATTTGAAAAGATCCCGGCTTTTCTTCTCCTGTTGTAGTACTTCCGGGAGGGACCAGAGAGCGCAAACCTAGTGCCCAGATCATAAGAGGCAAGTGCCCTGTCCCTGGGCTCTTTCTCGACACCTCATCTCTCCCTTTTTATATACAAATCAGCACTGTCTGGAGACTGCTCCGTATCGAAACATAAAGTTCCATCACTCAGTTTTAAAACTCACACAAAGTTCCATTATGTACACTTACACCAGCATTTTCTTGATAGACTTTTGTGGTTTTTCGAGGGCTGGCTAGCCATGCAGTAGTGACTATTCCATCCAGAAGGCTTTGGGGCGTGCCCTAGTGTAGCAGAGTAAGTTGGGTCTGAACGGTCTAAGGCAAAGGGCCTGTGTGTTTTCCGTCGTGAAGAGTATTGCTAAAATCTACCCCTAGGATTTGTACCGCTTAACTAGTCTTTAAATACAGTCTACTTAGGAATAGGGCTTTATACAAAACCTCTCCTCGCTACCCCTCTTTGCTCAACTCTGGACCCTTTCCATTTGTGCACATAAAACTATTCTTATGCCTTTTAAAATTCCTTTTGCACACTTGTTTAACTACACTTAGGTCTAGAGACAGGACCCCATAACCTGTTTTCATAAGTACCCAACACACACACACACACACACACACACACACACATACACACATATATATGGCTGAGGCTACCTGCTGTAACCCCAGTGACCCATTTCCTGCCTGCCCCCTTGCCCTTGGGTTTCTTTCCAGCAGTTTTCTCTAAGCATATGCCTGGATATATACGGGGCAGATGGTTCATTAGTCCCTGGGCATTCCAGGTCCCAGTTGTGGTAATTGGTTAAGTGCTTTGATCTTTGTGGCATCCTTTTCTCTGTGCTGCAGGCAGTCTGAGACCGGTTCCCTGTTTCACTCAAGTGGAAAAGGAGGCTTACCTGTCCAGGGTCACTCTCTTACACTGTCTGTTCAACCCATAATCCACTCATTAAAGACCACACAGTAAAGAAGCAAACAAAACTAACATTTCCAGCTTTATTCTGACTGGTCATATTAAAAAACGTTATAGAAAATGTCCTCCAAACTAGTGTAAGTTGGAGGTGGAGCACACGGGGTAAAGACTAGAAGGTGGGTTGGCCCATGTCTCAGTGGTAGAGTGTTTGCCTAGTGTGGAGGAATCTCTCAGTTCTATCCTCAGTGTTACCAACAAAAAAGGAAAGAACAATTAAGTCTTTTCTGGTAAATACAAAATCTGCCTTGTAATAACTTCATGATTTTTCATCTTTATGATGGTGTACAAATGATACAAGTTCAATAAAATTTTGACCTTTCCTAGTTTGTGACTTGGTTGGTGGTCAGGACACTGAACAAAGCAACAAACTCAAGCTCCTAGTCAGCCTTAAGGTCCAGAGGGCAAACCACTGCTTACCACACACTGGCTGCTAAGGTGGCAGGCCAGAATGTCTGTGCAGTGCATTTCTTAACTTACTATGCTTTTAACATACTGGAACTGTATTGGATGTAGCTTGGTTGTAAGGGGAGAAACATCTGAAATATAGGCCAGGCAAAAGGACAGGCATTCTTTTGGAGGTGTGCAGAACTGGGTTTGCTGCTTTTTTCCTTCCTAGACGTGTGGCCTTTGAACCTAGTTCTGGATCTTGCATCACTACTGGATAATGCTAACCATGCAGTTATTTTCTGACATGGCTCTTTTCAAATACTTACGCTTCTTGGACAAACTTTGCAGGAAGCATGTTTATCACGTAGCCACTAATGAAGTTGGGACTTAGGAATGCAGATAGTAAGCTGGACTATCAAGGCTTGCCTGTCTCCCAAGCTGGGACCTTTCCTTGACACCAGCTTCCTCAATTCCTGCCCACCCCTTCCAATATGTACATTCACATAGAGCCTCTTTGGTGACAAAACAGTTTCAGTATTAGCCCAGTATATATGATCAAATGGCTACCGTTTCAGTATTAGCCCAGTATATATGATCAAATGGCTACCATTTCAGTATTAGCCCAGTATACGTGATCAAATGGCTACTGTTTCAGTATTAGCCCAGTATATACGATCAAATGGCTACCATCTGAGTGCTTAGTGTTCTGATTGAGACTATATAACCATACAAGGGAATTTGTTCTCTTCTTGGTTTTGTTGTTTGTCCTTTTGTTTGTTTTGTTTTTGAGACTGGTTTTCTCGTAGGTGGAGACTGCTTATTCCCCGGCTGCCCAGACCCGAAATAATGACATAGAAACTATATTGATTGCAGTACTATTTGGCTAATAGCTTAAGCATATTTCTAGCTAGCTCTTACATCTTAAATTAACCCATTTCTATTATTTTATACTTTACCATGAGGGTCATGGCTTACCGGCAAGGTTCTCACTTGTGGCTTGCGTCTTTCTCCTCTGGCGGCTGCCTACCTCTGGCGGCTGCCTACCTCTGGCGGCTGCCTACCTCTGGCGGCTGCCTACCTCTGGCGGCTGCCTACCTCTGGCGGCTGCCTACCTCTGGCGGCTACCTACATGGCTTCTCCCTGACTCCACTTGCTCTCTCCTCTTTCTGCTTGGCATTCCTGCCTTGCCCTATTCTGTGCTGTTATAGGCCCAAAGCAGCTTTATTCATTAACCAATAGTATTCACAGCATACAGAGGGGAATTCTACATTAGTTTCCTTATATAACCTTGACTGCCCTGGAATTAGCTTTGTAACCTTGAATTCACAGAGTGAATTCCCAAGTGATGCTATTAAAAGTGTGTGCCACCATTACCTGTCTTGTTATTGCTCTTCTTGCTCATATCTTGAGAAAACTACTTTCCGGTGTTAAAATGTGGCCTGACCTCACTGGACTGGTGAGACCATTATTCCTTAGGGAGATTAGATCCCTACCTTCCTTTTTGGGAACCTGGAAGATGGAGGTTTTCCTGTTGAAGGGAAGTATGCTCCTGTTTGGAGTGCCTGTTCTGGCCCATCCTTGTGGCCAGGAGGACCTTGTAGCTGGGCAGTATCCTGTGGACTAGAGACATCACATTGGTTTTTAGTTGAGGAAGCAAGCCTGCCAGGTAAAGTGTACAGGGCTGCTGCTGGAAGCCATCTCTCATCTGTTCTTAGGGCCCATCTATCAGTCTGCCCTTGCCTTCCTGAACTAGCTACAGACCAGATCCTGACAATGCCTTTGGAATTCCACCATTTGGACACTGCTGTCTGAACAGTGGTTGGGGTTATTCACTGTCCCTGTTTTCAGGGGTTCATCAGGTCATATCAGCCCTTGCTTCTAGCTTCTCAGTTCTTTTTTGTTTGATTATTGATATAGAGTCTTTCTAGCCCTAACTGTTCTGGAAATCACTAAGTAGACTAGGCTAGTCTAGAACTCACAGAGATCCACCTGGTTACCTCCCAGGTGCTGGAATTATAGGTATGCACCACCATACCTGACTCTCCAGTATATTATTGTATTTGGACTAATTCACCCTTCTTGTTCCAGGCTCAGTATCCAGGCCCTGTCTTCCTTGGAGCCTCCTCAGTGACTACTTTCCTATGTTTCTGGCCTTCAGTCATGCTGCTGACTTTTCTACTACTTAAGTAGGTCAGCAGTTGCTTTCCCCAAGGTCTTTGCACCTGCTACTGCTTCTGTGGTATGTCAGACTCCTTGTTGCTTGTCCCAGTTCAAATGTCACTTCATTTGTGAGTCCCCCCAACCTACCTCTCTATTGCGTGTCCCTAACCCTTACCCCTCATACTTTCCCATTTCCCTATGCCCCTTGTATGTTGTGTCACTTGTCATTTGCTAGAATTGGGGCTCTGAGAGCAGAGTGGGATCTGACTCGCCAGCACTCTGTGCTGCCTGGGCTGGCATCTAGTAGGTTCTTACAGAATTCTGAGGGATGGAGAGCTGTGTTTCACCTGCTGGCCTAGCTGGTTGTGAGTTAGTGGGCAGAGTTAGGACGGGGCTGACCTCTTTAAGTGCATCCTGGTGTCCAGGAGATGACAAGAGAGCTGACAAAGGCACACTGCCATGCCTCAAGGGATCTCTGAAGTTCTATGCACAGAGGACAGAAGCTAGAGTACTCACTAAGCTGGGCCTGCGGTGCACCTGTCTACCTACTCAGTCTGCTGAGGCAAGAGGATTACTTGGACCAGGAATTTGAGTCCAGCCTGGGTAACATAGTGATTCTCTGTTAAAAAAAAAAAAAAAGACACTTCCCACCTCTTGTTGAGGGACAGGGTATGGACACATTAGAAAGAAAAGCTTTCCTAGGGCAAGGAACAACTTGATGAGGCAGCTTTGTCAGTTAAGGTCAGAGGTAACTGGTAGCATGGGGTGCAGCAGGATGTCATGGGATATGACGGTGTGTTCATTACAGTGGAAGGTCTGAGCAGAGTTAGATCCTAGAGGGGAGCCCTTGGGATGGTTTCTCCTAAGGGCCTGGAGTACTTTGGAAGGCCGTTGCTGTGTAGATATATGATGTGGCCAGCTGAGTTGTGGGTATGAAGTTGTAGGCAGGGACATTGTGCACAGAGGTGTGGTCTTCTAGTCCTCTCCTCCTGGGATCCTTGGATGACTATGCCAAAAGTTCTCAACCTCTAGGTTGCAACCCCATTGGGGGAGGTTGAACAACCCTTTCATAAGAGTCGCCTGAGATCATTG